AAACAGCTCAGTTTTTACTGTTTTTAATCCATTCGGCTGATCTGGCGGGATCACTGTTAGCCTAGCTTAGCATAGATCATTGAATCGGATTAGACCATTAGCATCTCACTCAAAAAAAGAAAAAGAATGTAGATAACCATGTTTAAAGCTCGATTCTTCTGTTCTCACATCACATCATGTAGAAGCAATGCAATTATATTAAACAGCGCATGAAAATAGTCCACGTCTAGAGTGCTGTAATGTCACTGCGCTGTTGTGGTCGTGGTACGGCAACGAAAGTATAGTTCCAGCAGTATCAGCATAGAAAAACAGCTACTTTACATTTTCTGTCAGTCTCAGTATGTGATGGAACTACAGAAGAGTCCAGCTTTATATAGAGAAATTATCAAGTCATTTTTAGTGAGATGCTAATGGTCTAATCTGATTCAATGATCTATGCTAAGCTAAGCTAAATGCGGGCTGAATAAATTCAGGAGAGCTGTAAAATTTGCATATTTAAAAAGAGAGTGTTCCTTTATGGTGACCCTTATTAGTTGTAGTGTGTGTGTGTGTGTGTGTGTGTGTGTGTGTGTGTGTGTGTGTGTGTGTGTGTGTGTAGAGAGACGGCGAGGGACCGATATAAGCTGCAGACCCTGGGCATCACACACATCCTGAACGCGGCGGAGGGCGAGTGGAACAGTGTGGACACCGGCGCTGAATATTATAAAGATATGCAGATTCATTACTATGGCGTCACAGCGGAGGACACGCCCACTTTCAACATCAGCCAATACTTTTACAGCGCAGCAGAGTACATCCAGCAGACCCTCAGTGACCCGCACAGTGAGCAAACACTACACTAACACAACACATAAAAACACAACACATAATAACACAATAATTATACTACACTAGCACTAAACCAACACTTAAATAACACTACACAGAATAACACTACTAACACTACACATAATAACACAAAACTTATACCACACTAACACTTAACTAACACTACATAGAATAACACTACTAACACTACACTTACACTACACATAATAACACAAAACTTACACTACACAGAATAACACTACACTATCACTAACAGTACACTAAACTAACATTAAACTAACACTTAAACACTAAATAAACACTAAACTAACACAACACAGAATAACACTACTAACACTATACATAATAACACAAAACTTACACTACACTAAACTAACGTTGAACTAACACCACACTAACACTACACAGAATAACACTAAATTAACACTGCACTAACACTTAAATAACAATAGACTAACACTTTAATAACACTAAACTAACGTTAAACTAACACTATACTAACATTACATAAACATTACACAGAATAACACTAAACTCACACTATACTAACGTTAAACTTTGGGGATGGGGATATTGAGATGGCGGAGCGCTGGATGGCAGAGGGGTGTCGCAGACGAAAGTGAAGAAAGGAGGAGGGCAGTTGAGGAGGGGGATCAGAAAAATGAGGTGCCGGATAAGATTTCAGAGGTGCTGGATCCGGATCCGATGTGTTCCGGCAGAAATTAAGCCCTGGGTAAACTAACACTACAAAGAATAACACTAAACTAACACGACACTAACACTTAAATAACACTTCACTAACGTTAAAATAACATTGATGTAACACTTTAACACTAAACTAATGTTAAACTAACACCACACAGAATAACACTAAACTCACACTATACTAACGTTAAACTTTGGGGATGGGGATGTTGAGATGGCGGAGCGCTGGATGGCAGAGGGGTGTCGCAGACGAAAGTGAAGAAAGGAGGAGGGCAGTTGAGGAGGGGGATCAGAAAAATGAGGTGCCGGATAAGATTTCAGAGGTGCTGGATCCGGATCCGATGTGTTCCGGCAGAAATTAAGCCCTGGGTAAACTAACACTACAAAGAATAACACTAAACTAACACGACACTAACACTTAAATAACACTTCACTAACGTTAAAATAACATTGATGTAACACTTTAACACTAAACTAATGTTAAACTAACACCACACAGAATAACACTAAATTAACACTACACTAACACTAAACAAACATTAATCTAACACTACACAAACACCACACAGAATAACACTAAATTAACACTACACTAACACTAAACAAACAATAATCTAACACTACACAAACACCACACAGAATAACACTAAATTAACACTACACTAACACTAAACAAACATTAATCTAACACTACACAAACACCACACAGAATTACACTAAATTAACACTAAACTAATATTAAACTTTATTATTAATAAACTATTAACTAATATTAAACTAACATTTGACTGTTTTCTTCCTCTGTTAAACAGCAGTGTGGAAATATTACATATGAAAAATAATTAAAACAAGTGTGTGTTATGATAGTTTACGCTGACACACATGTGTGTGTGTGTGAGTATGTGTATAAATATGT